CCGACAGGGGCTGGTGTTGTGCGGCTGACCTGGGTGGAGAAGGGCTCGACGAGTCTGTGAATAGCTGGGAGCAAACCGAAAAGAGATCCGAGGCTCGTCTGTGGCGCAAATACGGTTGGCGATCAGCTGAGTTGATTCCTAAGGGGAGCAACAACCTTTTTGTGGAGGGTTGAGGGAGTGCGTTTGGCAATGGAAAGCGGGGAAAGGGGCTAGCGGCCTTTCTGTGCAGAGGAAGGCATCTGTGACTGATAGGGGGAGGAAGGACCAAAGTGGAGATACACACTACCTTGGGAGAGATACAAACTTAACACTGCTCGCCGTCGGATACAACTCTAGAAGAGGGAATGCTTGGATGACACACCTGAAATTAGAAAATGATCAAGCACTCTTTTGTAATGAGCACACGACAATTATAAATAATATGGAAGTGAGGCCTAAATTGGGTAAGTGGAGAAATAGGTACGGATTAAACAAGAATGTAAGATATAGACAAAAAACTTGAAATTCACTCCAAGTAGAAACGAAAGGATTTGGTAGGGAGAAATTAAGGCCTGAGATGAGGAGGGGCGGAAATTGGGTTGATCTGCATGGTTCGCTCCAGCAGGGAGGCTGGACTGGTTCGTGCTAGTCCACTCAACCTCGGGAGAATGAAGTGGGGGCGCCATGCCCAACACGGAGGTGCTCAGGCCCTCGCTAATGCAACAAGTGCCGCACACGATCTTTCCGTGCCACCCGTTCCTCCACCTGGACCGAACCAGTCTAGGTTCTCCCTTTCGAGTAGTCGGTCGGTCCTCTTGGGCCACTACTAGTTATCCTCTTATTATATACTTGTATCCCTGTTGTTCTAAGTTTAGTTTTTGACGTGAGTTTGTTTAGTACAACCGCCGACTTCCGTTTCTCCCTTCAAGGGCTGCATCCGAGGGATTGAGTGATGCTATGACTGTATCTCTCTCCCGAAATGGTGATTAACTTCCCTATATCCTTCCATATTCTCTCCATGTCGCTCCCGATCGGCATATCTCACTGCAGTCGAACAACATTTCGATTTATGTTTTCTGCAGTTCTAGCCACCATCATCGCCTTTTCCTTTTTCCTCTTTGCTGCCATTTCAGTTCCAGCCATCCACCTACACTTCCGCCACTGTTGCCTCCCTCGTGTCGCTGTCTGTGATGCTGTTGTTATCCGGAAATCAACACATCTGCTGTTTTTTTTCCCTCCCCTGGCTGTTTCAGCCTTTCCCACCTTGACTAGCGCAGTTCCAGCCATCCACCTACACTTCCGCCACTGTTCCCTCCCTCGTGTCGCTGTCTGTGATGCTGTTGTCATCCGGAAATCAACACATCTGCTGTTTTATTTCCCTCCCCTGGCTGTTCCAGCCTTTCCCACCTTGACTAGCTGCTCCACTTACCACCACACTTGGTGCCCTGGCCGTCCTAGCCCTCCGCTTTGTTGCCAATGTGCTTTCAGCCCCTTTTTTTTGTTGTTCCAACCACCTACAACCCATGTCAGCCATCTATCTTCGCTCCCTAACCACCTAGCTGACTTCCACCACCCATGGATCGAGCTCTATTGTGAGTTTGTGTCATGTTAGCTGTTCTTTCTCTTTCAGTATGATTTGTAACTCCTGTATCAGCAGGTATTTAGGAGAATATGCATGATAAAACTATGTAATATTTATTAAAATGATTACAACTGATTAATTTCATAGGTACAAAATAGAGGTACAAATCAAAAGTACCATTGCTGCAAACCTACACTGTGTGAAAAATTGTGTAAAATGGAGTTAACAACATCGGCAATGCTTGATAAGAATAATAAAAAGGTTCTAAAATAGCTAACATATAACATCATAATTACCATTACGCCTAGCTTAACTTATTTTAAGGACTGCTTATGAAGCCTTATTTGTTCAGTTATTTTGAGTACTGCATGCCAATTTGGCTTGAGTTTACGGAAGTCATTATAGGCATCTTTAATTGAAATCATCGTTGCTCTATTTTTTTGAATCCAATGCCTTTCATAATGATTCTATCTATACATCTTATTGATGATAATCTACTTTTCTTTCATTCCCACTTCACCGAATTTTATTTTATGCAATTGTGCACCATAGGGTCTTTTCTGCCTCGTTAGTACATTCATTTCAATGCTTTTTAGTTCCTTTGCCATTTATTCTTAACATTATCATTTTCTTTAAACATAAACTTGATTGTTATTGATTTTTGATATTGGAATCCAAACCACGAGGCAAGACACAATTCTATTACTCACTTAAAATATTGTTACGATGAAGTCTCGAAATAACGAAAGCCAAAGCCCAAAACAAAGAATTACAACTGATGCTTAACAAATTAGACACAACACGTTTGATGAGGAGGGATTCAGGCGAGGGGAGGCTGGATTGGCGGCTGTGGTGAAGGATAGAGGAATGGCAGGTAGCTATGGAAGAAGTAGGACAGCAGATCATCAATAGTAAAGACGTCAAACAGTAGCTGGAGAGAAGCAGGAACGTTGTTGGAGGCTGGATTGAGGCTGCGGTGAAGGCCGGAGAATGGTGGGCTGCTGTGGAAGAAGGTTGGCCTGCAGGGAACCTGCAGGAAGAAGCCTGGCTGCAGTTGGTTCGGTGCAGGGAGGAGTATGGAGGGCTGCGGCCTTGTTGGGAGAAGGCTGGCAACAAGTTGGAGGGAGGAAGAACCTGGGCTGCAGCTGGTTGGGTGCAGGGAGGAGGTTGGACAGTGGCCTGCAAGGTGCAAGGGGCAGCGACAGCCTGCTGGGAGTATAATGGAGAGCTGCGGCCTGGTTGGGAGAAGGCTGGCTGCAGTAATGGAGAGCTGCGGCCTGGTTGGGAGAAGGCTGGCAGCAGTTTGGAGGGAGGAAGAAGCTGGGCTGCAGCTGGTTGGGTGCAAGGAGGCTGGACTGCAGCATGAAAGGGTAAGGGGGAAGTTTGGAAGTTGCTGGGGGTGTTGGAGTCAAGGAGCAGCAGCGGCAAGGTTGGAAGAATATATAAATATTTCGACGGGGTGGAGCTACAGCCAGAGCACCACCTGGACCCGTAGAGGCGATCACCACCTCGGACGAGGGACAGCCGGAGTACTATCTCGACTTCGGATACAGCCCTCGAAGGGGAAATACCAAGCTAAAACCTGAATTCAGATATCAAAACAAGACTCCCTAACTCTAAGCACATCATCCCATATTTATAAAGAGGCTATACTTCTTTTAGGTAATAAAAATAAAGAAGGAAAATAAAATATTATCAGATTTTCAGATTTTAAGAAATGATTTAAAATGAGAAAGGATTTAAATAAGAAAGGAGAATAAAATATAATTATGATTTTAGATTTTAGACTTTAGGAAGAATGTAAAATATGAAAGTGCTTTGGAAGGAAAGATTGAGGGGAAGAGAAAGGAAAGGTGAGGAAGGAAGGAGGAGGAGAAAGATAAGAAAAGGGGAAAGGAAGAAGGGGAAGGCTCCCTAGAGGACTGGCTGGTCCTTCCCTGAGCCCTGTGTCTTTTTTTCTAAAATGGTTTTAATTTTGTTTTAGTATTCCTGTCCATGCTATATAGCAGCTCTTATTTCAATTTATAAAATTTATTATTATTTCGCATGCCATTCTAAATGGAAGATGCTTAGGCAATGGGATTTAAAAAGTGCAACCTTGGCATATGTTATTTTCAAATAACATTATTCCTTAAAAATGAAATATTTTTGTAGTTGTTGAAACACAATTGATGTAATTTTAGAGTAGAACAGGCTTACGGCATTATAGAAATTGAGTATATAATGTCCGATCATTATGTATATGTATTAATATCCATTTTTCTTTAGTGATGGAGGCTAAGAAATATCCCAATGTTAAGTTACTTTATTCAGGACCAAATTCATGTACGAACGGGGATGGATAACTATATATTTCATTGAGTCGTAGCTGGGTGATTAAAAAGGGAATATACTTTTAAGATACAATTATAGTAAAGATAATATTGTGAAGATTTGAAGTTTTTTTGTTAAATTACATTAAATTGGCTATATTATGGGGATCTTTGCGCTACATTATCAACAAAAGAATTGATTGGCAACCAGCTACATGTGTCACTGATGAGAATTTTAGGATGGATTGCAAAATGAGTATAATGGAGAATGATGCCTATTTGAGATTATCTTATGGGTGAAAAACTTGTGTTTGACCATGTGCAGTAGAAAGTAGAATATGCGCTAATAAGGTGGGAGAGAGAAATACTTTGTAGGTGATGGGACAAGTTTTATAATGCTAATGATGATTGCTATGATATGCAGATGCCTTGTCAATGGTTTGGTGGTATGTTTGCTATTTTAATATTGTCTTATGCTTTCCATCCATTGTTGTACAAGCAGTTTATTTGGCTAAAGTATCTTCACTTAAAAGAAATAGGATGATCCAATATTTCCATTTATCAGGCTTTGCTAGTACGGTAAGAATTTCAAGGATTTAAAACGCTAATCTATATTGTTGGGATATGGCTAATCTGAGTAGGGTGATAATAATAGTGTTATCACAATGTGGCTCGTGCAGCTTTTTTATATTGGGTATGGCCTTGTGCAGTTTTTGTAATTTCGGAACAACATGAGGTGATTCTCATTCCTGGGACGGTTTTGTCATCCTGTAAGCTACACTTGTTTGAAATTCCAAATTCACTTTACTTCTTTTTCATCAAATGGATATCTGGTTAATGTTTCTTTAGTTGAGGTAAGATTTGTGGTATTTTAATGGAATCTGAATTTGATGCTTTTCCAAATTTTAGCTTTTGCTTGCTTTTAGTTGATGCTTTCCACAAAGAACTGGATTTTAGATTGAGTTTCATTCTTTCACAAGCTTTTACTTTTTTGTGCTTTGCTAGTAGTGAAATCTCATAGATCATCTTTAAGCTGGTATTATTTCCAATTTGCAAATTATGATTGAATTGATTATATTAATTCCTCTAATTGCTTTGCGGATGTACAAAATATGATTTGTGAACAGCACTATGATGGTGATGTGGCAGAATTGTCATTAGATTTTACAGTGACTGAAGAGGTTTGTGGAAAGAGGATAGTGAGAGAGCTTAGACCTGATGGTAGGAATGTTTTGGTCACAAATGAGAATAAGCTACAATATATCCATGCGATTGCTGATTATAAGCTCAATTGGCAAGTATGTCATCTAGTCCGTCATTTCATTGAGTATGTAATCATTTCTAATATGCATATATTTATTATTTGTTCAAAATATTGATTTTCAGATGCTTGCATCAGCAAATGCATTTTATCGTGGGCTTATTGATCTCATAGCGCCTTCATGGTTGAGTTTATTTAATGCAAATGAATTTAATCAGGTATTCTCTCCACCTTTAACTGTATATACTAGAGTTTTTATGAACGGTCCTTGTCTGCTTCTTGTGAAAGCTTGTAAATATTTTTCACTTTTTATGCAGTTATTAAATTCAGTAACATTTTCTTTTAATTTCTATTAAAATTTATGTTGAGATTAAACAAAGTTGGCAGTAGTTTTTTCAAGATAAGAATTGCTTAGCATTCTTTTCCAAATTTAAAAGAGAAAAAGGAGAATGAAGAGAAAATGGTGATTGATTTGAAAAAAAAAAATTAAGGCATGCAGTATTGAAAGGTGGTACGTAAAATTTTTCTAATTAATATATAATGAGTCATTTTGTTTATTTATATTTTTATAGTAAAATAAGTTTGTTTTCATTGTGTTGACCTATTAAAAAACAATAGAAATCTCACGTTGCTAGTATCCGACTTGTCACGCCCCATTATTATCTCTCCTTAAATCAACACAGGATGTAAAATCGGTGAGTGAGATTCAGCTAACTGAATATAATTCAAATTCTATTTTGGTATTTACTAGTAAGGATAGAATGAGAGACAATCATCTAAATTCTCCTGAAATAACACATAATACATTGCTCCACTTCACATATATTCAATAAAATCAACGAGTCAAATTTAGCGGAAACTGCTAAAAATATTTTATTTAAATATATCTATAAAGCATTTAAAATGTACCAAATTTTTTATAAAAATATAAGCTTCGTTTTATTTCATACTTCAAAATTTTGTCTTATAATAGCTTTATAATAAAATATAATCACAATTTATACCGATTCTACTCAGCCTCTTCCTTCTCTTTTTCTTTATCTATAGAAATGTTTATAGCATTTTAGTGAACTATATGACTTATCAAAATAGAAAAATATAATACACAACACAAATATTAAAGAATAATAAACAACATGCATACTCTCATGAATAGACATAACATAAACATAAATTGGATACATATGATAAGTGCATCGCTATAACATTGAAAATTAAAGAAATCCTTGCATAGAAAGTTAAAATTTTATTGTACATGTAGTTTTTCTTAGTATATTTTGTCAATTAATGACTCAATTAATTGCATATTGATTTACATTCATCAAATCATTTTTTTTAATTTTTTATTTTCTACTTTTTTATTTCATTTAATTTCAGATTGTGTTATATATAATTGTCTAGGTTTATGGGCCATTTTAATATAATGTGCTGAAAATCCAAACAACATAACATAGGGTGTAAACTCTGAAGTTCAATAGAACCTTGGCGGGACTTAGTATTATCTCTATTGAATTATTTTATAGATCCTCGTCTCCAATGACAATTTTTTGCCCCACTTACACAGTATCATAAATATATTTTTGTCAACATATCCAAACGTGATATGGCCTATCTTAAGCTTAACTTATCTTCATCATTAAACTTTTTCTATAATTAAATTGTATTTACTTTGAGCTTATATCAACTAAATTTTCGTGTGGTCATGAAGTCCAAATCTTACTCCTTTAGAAAAAAGGGTCATGCATAACTCTAATTTCCTCGCCTATTCCATATGATTATGACTGACTTATTGCCTTGATAAAAGGGAAAGCGAAAAGGAAAGAGAAAACACCAAACAACCAAGTTATTCATTGGCCAATCAGTGTCTTTTCATATATTTTCTTCATCTCACAGAAGTTTCTTTGTTAACTTAAAATCCATCCCAATACCTAATACCTCATATGTGGCTTTATCTGATGAGAAATAGAGAAAAATTATGAGAATAGAGATGGAGGCACTTTAGAAGAACAACACATGAGAAATAGTTGAGCTGTCACAAAATAAATAAGGAGTGGGAAGTTTGTCATGAAATCTAGTTCAGACGGGACTCTAGAGAGATACACAACAATGTTAATGGCTACACAAACATATCGAATGAACAATCAATAGATTTTTTTTTCTGCAGTGGTTTAGATGAATAAAGTGAGGCTTCTTTTATCCTTTGCTATAAATTTCAATTGGGATTTATAATAATTTGATGTGAAGAATGCCTTCATGGTAAATTAGAGGAAGAGATATACATGGAGAATCCATTGAGCTTTGGAGTAATGTTTTGCAAATTGAAAAAGGCATTATATGAAGTCAAGTAGTCTCCAGGAGCTTGTTTTGATAAGTTTACAAATGTGATGCTTAATATTAAGTATAAGCAGAATCAAGGCGATCATACAGTATTCATCAAACACGCTCTTCTAGCATATGTTTATAACATAATTATTTTTAGGAATAATGAGAAGAAAAGGAGGCCTTAAAAAATTACTTGGCAATGGAATTTGAAATCAAATACTTGGGAAGCTTCAAATATTTCTTTGGGATAGCGGTAGCTTGACCTTGGCAAGGTATTTTTGTTTCCTAATAGAAGTATGTGATTAACTTCTCGAAGAAAACTGATAATTTATTCTATAAACTTGCTTCAACTTTGATTGGGCCCAATCACAAATTTGGAGAGGTGAATAATGACAAGGTAATAGATAATAAAGGGTTTCAAAATTTGATTGGAGAGCTAATATATTTGACACACACTCGACCCAACATTATCTGTGATGTGAGTGTTGTTAGTTAGTTCATGCACAACCCTAAAGAAGTTCACCTACAAGTTACAAATCAGACACTCCATTACCAAAATGTTAATCCAAGAAAAGAAATTTTATTCAATAAAGATGAGATGCTGATTCTTGAAGCTTATACTGATGCAAATTTTGCAAGATCTCTTGTTGATAGATGTTCCACACAGGTTATTACATGGTCTGAGGTGGTAATCTGGTTATATGGAGGAGTAAGAAATAAAATGTGGCACATTAGTCAAGTGTGGAAGGGGAGTTTAGGATCATGCTGAAAGTGTGTGTGGGCCATGTGGTTGAATATCATCATTGAAAATCTCAAGATAAAATGGGAGGAGCTTATAAGGCTATGTTGTGTCAGCAAAATCATCAATATTGCTCATTATCCAGTACAATATTGTCACGACCCGGCCTAGGGCTTTGAATTAATGAAGACGGGAACAGGCGTTCGGACGATGAAAATTAAATTTTTCCATATTTGTTTTCTATTAAGAAATGAAAAAGACATTAATCAATCTAAATTAAAATAGTAAAATTAAGAATACTTCATTATTGGTTACCCGTATCTTCTATAAACATTATCCCTCATATCGTTCAACTTTTAATCAATTAAATTAACCTGAAAATTTTGCTTAAAAATAACAATAAACTAATTAAGACAATGAATACTCATACTCCTAAACGATAATAATACAAGAAAAAAGAAAGCAAATGCGTCCTAAAACTTTTAATAAATCAATAATAACATATGAGATGTTATCAATGAATCTTGTTATATCAGTAATATGTCAATATCATTTTATATATGTCCAACTATCACAGAAACATTGTTTTAAAATTATACCACTTAATGTACTTTGATATCAATGTCCTTTTCTATATATGTGCACGGGTACGTTAGTGTTCTCCCACTAGTATCATAAGATCATGCAAATATAAACATGCCATAAAAAAAAAAACACTTTCTAATAATAAATATTTCATTCTCACTTGCATAACATTCAATATTTTTGTGCAAGATTCAGGATCTACAAACTTAGCTCACAAGTCTTTTTTACAATATGAACAAATTCATTAGAACCTTTATTCATGGGTATACAATATTATAACAGTAATAAAAAATTTATTTGATCGAGAAAAAAATAATATTATCATTGTATAACAATTTGAGTATTCTCATCGATGATAGACGATATGCTTGCTTTTAATTTCTATTACTTCTATCAAATTATCACCTATAAAAATATAAAGTATTCAATTATTATATTTTAATTTAATTATCAATTATTATTGTATCGTACTATTAAGATTTCATTACTTTAAACTTTAAGTTTGATTAAGAAAATATTAAATAATATTAATTTATACATCAATACATTTAAAATTAAAACTCTAACCTTTCCTTAATACTTGAATTAACTGGACTTAAGTTAAACATTTAAATAATAAACTTATAACTCTTTCCTTTGATCGCGGTTTGTTACTGACGTCGCCTCCTCTGCTTGTCACCGACGTTGTCTCCTATGCTAAGGGAGCCTTCCATGTAGCTGAGTCTCACCCTTCCTTTCCCTTACTCTTTTCTCTTTCTCCTTTCTTCTTCTTCTTTTGGACTTGCTTTGTCTTTCCTCATACGCATTGTTTTATAGAACACAAGTGACCTCTGAGTTCTCTACTATTCAATTCCTTTCCCTTCTTTAATTGCATGATTCCTCACTTCTTTTCCATTCCGTTCATTTCCTTTTCTTCTCTGTTTGCTTCCTCTTCTTCCATTCTTCGTTTTCTTCGCCGATCTGAAACGTGTCGTCACGAACATGATAGGAGTGATATAGATATTTATTCTATAAAATAGAAATTAGGCAGCCAATTGATCCGTACTTCCTATATGGCTACAAAGGAACAATTTGCATGTGTTTTCAAAAGGATTTGATGATTATGATATCTCTATGATTATATCCAAATAAGGAATGGATGATATTTCTTTACTAGCTTGAGGGGAAGTGTTGGAATGTCGACAACTATTTTAGGATAGTTTTTTAGATTTTATATTATTAGGAAAAGAAAATTAGTTATGAAAATCCTTTGATGTGGGGACTTAGTTTAGGGTAAAACATTTTAGTTTTATTCCTTATTATTTTTCTCGGTTCCTTTTTATTATCAATGTATAATATATATATATAATTGTTATTGTGCATTAATTATTTGTGGATTTCTTTTATTAGGGATTCAGTTTGTACTATCCTCTTCATTTCTTCTTTGTGTATTTATTGGTGTGGTTTGGCTTTGTGATTTTTTTTTTTCATTCTTCAATTTTTTCCACATTAAATATGTGTTTTTCCTTGTTTCCTTGTTTGTGCACTTCTGTTTAAAGTATTGCTTCAGGTCTCTCGAATCGGTTTCCCGTTTTAGTCATATATCTCCCGTTTTAGTCATATATCTCCCACAACACTACATAAATCTCACTCATGCAATTTGTTATTATTCATACAAATTGCCATTCAGTGACTTAATGAAATTAGAAAAAGTTATATTAATCCTAGTCATTTGAGAAATTCAACTTTTTTTATGATAAATTTATAACAATGATATCGAAAGCCTTTTTTGGATGCCAAATGTTTCACATCTTTTCTAGCGGTATTTAGTGTGTAATTGTAGGTGTATATGGCAATTCAATACAGAACGTGATGTTGAACTTGCAGTATGAAATTACAAAAAAACAATTGAAATGGGTTTTAGAGATGCCAGATCTATGGAAATTAAATTGAGGCATAATCTGATACTTATTTTGGCCCTCTATTCCTTTATATATATATATCTTAGTTAAATTTCATCTGTAATGTATTTTGTCAAATTTATATTTTTTATTCAAGCAATCTGCTTTTAGCAAAGTTATAGCATTTCCAAAGGTTTTCATGGATCGAGTCTCACTGGTATAATACATGGCAATGGGCCCCACATAAAACATGGTGGATCATGTTTCTTTTACAATTTGTGCATAATATTGTTATCCAATGTGATCAAATGCTGTCTTCAGCTCCACATTTGGCACTCCTTTATTATTCGATCTTATTTTATTTTCTGGTTACAGTTGCTTTCAGGTGGAAAACATGACTTTGATGTTGATGATCTGAGACGCAACACTAGATATTCTGGTGGTTATTCTGAGGGAAGCCGGACAGTTAAAATATTCTGGGAGGTATTCTTTATACTTTTACATTCTAATCAAACTTTCATAATTTTTTTTAATGGCATATTGTAATTTTTCTAATTTATGGCTTTAGTTGCAAATAATTGTACAACATTTCAAGTTTGTTTCCTGTATAGTTCCTTCTATGGATATAAAGGCTAATAAATATTTGTAAAGTTTATTTGCTACAGTTATAGATTTTTTTTTTTTGTTTTAAATAAGAGGGCCGATATATTTTGTAGTTAATGCCTTGCTAGTTTCTAGATGAGAGCTTTGTCTAGATGTGTATTAAAATACATCAAGTAGTTCTAGTTAGCCTTTCTAGACGTCTCCACCAAACAATATGACATGTGATACAACTCTTTAATTTATTCCTGCCATTAAATATAAATATTAATTTAACTTCTTCCCCTATTGTTGCACGTTTCTTGGCTCTTCAAATTATAAAGATATGTCAAGGTTGCATATTACTAAGCTGAGATTTGTATGTATGTATGTATGTATGTATGTATGTGTTGACCTCATTTTTGGTGAGGTCTAGTCTTCCTCTTATCTTCCTCTTAGGGTTTAAGTCTTCCTCTTAGGGTTTAAGATCTAGCCTTAGAGATCTCCCTTCGACTATCTTAGAACCTTAGAAATGGGACCCGCCTCGTTCTAGAACATCAACCTACTTCTGTCCCCTTTTGGGGTTTCGCGTGTGTGGTATCGACTTCTAGCACTTAGAAGAGTGAAACCAACATGAGGAAACCCAAAAGGGATCCCCATAAGACCTTCCTGAGCCTTAGGGTGGCCTTTTGCACAATTCGCACTCCCGCGCGCACAAACTTCGCAATTCGGAGAGTCGACGCATCCGATCGCCACGATTTGCATCTCTAGCACTGTTATTCGTCGAGGCTCGAGTAAACCTTTTGAGACGATCGATCACGGGTCGAAATTTTGTGAAATTTGAATTTCGACGCATTTTTTGACCCGATTATCGAGGACGTCGTCCGAGCGACCCCGGATGACAAAACGGACTGCACCGGCGCGTCCAGAACGTCGATTTTGCCTAGGGAGG